AAGAGAATTTACAGAGGGACCAATTGTTATTTTTATTAACAGTATCTGACGCATGTTGTATTATACAGACATTTAGTTTTCAGCCTTTTGAATTTTTTATTTTTTTTGTATTATATAATCAAGCAAAATTTGTTATTTCCCACAAAATCATTGGTAGGGGAAGAGTTCCTGGGCAGAATCAGGATACTGGTAGGTACATTTAATATTCTGCTTAAAAAGGGTTTGTTCACCCAAAAATGAAAATTCAGTCATTATTTACTCAACAGTGTTGTTCTAATGTTGTGTCTTTTAGAGGCATACTGTAGGGAAAATCAGAAAAGTAATTTATTATTTACTAGTTTTAGGCACACTATTAGGTTACTCTGAGCTCGTTCCTGAGATTGTGTGTTGCAACACAAACAGCCATTCGCATATACGTTTGAGTTTGAGGCTGGTCACTACACACTGACATTATATCTTCCATATAATGGATGTGAGCAGGACATTTTTCAGTATTTGTCCTTTTTGGGTCCAAAATAGAAGTTTAAAGTTTATACCATTCGAAATGTTGCAAATGCAATGTATTGGTATTTCTAGAAATTAATACATATAATAAATGCTATAAAACTATTAGTTAAGTTCAAACTAACGCATTAACTATTTTTAACAAACTGTCAAATGTTAACATCATAATGACACTTCAATGCTTCCACAACGTTTACTGTATATTGTCTGCATGTGTTTTTGTGGTAAACATTGTTTCCACCGTTTCATGTTTCCTCAGCTGGTGGTCAAGTGCAGGAGTCATTTGCTGTGAATGGACAAATGAGTGCAACTGCAGGCTTCTCCACAAGTGCAGATGCTTTGGGTGCTCATAGCCTAACGTTCACAGATGGTTAGAAATGTCTATAGTTTGGAAAAGTCCAGATTATCAAAATGCAACATGGACTATTGTGTATATCAAGACTTTATAACAAAAAGGTTACCTTCTTCATGTAGGTGTGTCTCCAGGATTCATAGCACCTGATGGCATGGGCGGCAACGGCCATGAGCTGATGAACAGAGATGAACGCTATGAAAAAGAGAAGTGTGTGCATCCAAAGGGAAAGAAGAAAAAGGTTAAGAGAGGGGAGAACACAGCTTCACCATTAAGGAAGAAACCCATTCAGTCAGCATCTGACATTAATGAAATGTGATTTGATTAATAAGATAAATAACACTTATATTTTCTTGTTTAAAGTGATAGTTCACCCAAACATTCTGTCATTAATTACTCCCCCTTATGTCATTTCAAACCCGTAAGACCTTTGTTCACCTTTGGGACACAACCTAAGTTATTTTTGATGAAATAACGAGAGCTGTCTTACCCTGCATAGACAGCAATGGAACTATCACATTCAAGGCCCAGAAAGGTAGTAAGGACATCGTTAAAATAGTCCATGTGGCATCAGTGGTGGACAGCGTTGCTGTCTATGCAGAGTGAGAAAGCTCTTGGATTTTATCGATATCTTAGTTTGTGTTCTGAAGTTGAATGAAGGTCTTACGGGTTTGGAACGACACAAGGGTAATTAATTACAGAATTTTCATTTTTGGGTGAACTGTCCCTTTAATGTAGCATTGTGTATGCTTTTCTATAAGCTTAAGTAGTGCTTAAAAGCTTTATAAACTTTAAATCTATAACTCTAACTTTCTGTACTCTTTAAATAAATACTTTCAAAAGGACAATACAAGCTGTCATTCATTATTGTAAATGGAAAAGACTATCATCATAATTAAAGAGATGAAATTAAAACTTTGTCATCATTTACTCACTCCCATAAGGGTTGATAAATCTTTTAACATAATCATTTTAATTAAACCTGAAAGGTTTCTGTCCCTCCAATAAAAGCCAAAGTAACCAAACCTTAAAAATATCCAAAAAGGTTATAAAGTGCCATAAAACAAAGCCATATGAATCAGTGGTTTATTCTAAATCTAGTGAAGATATATAATTGCTTCATATGATGGACAGATTTCATTTAGGCTTTTATTCACGTATAATACACATACATACAGTGCATTGCATATGGTAAACATGAAAGCTCATGCGCACATCACATGCTAAAACAAGCCACATTGGTTTGCGTGCATCACACAGACAAACTTCTCTTCACAAGACATGAAAGTGAGTAAATGATGACAGAATGACATTTTTTGGTGAACTATCCCTTAAAGAACTGATGCTATACCATACAAAGGGCCAGCAAAATAATGAGTCTGCAAAATACAATCATGAAATCGAGTAGCAGTGATGAGTA